ACCTGGCAGCCTCGTGGCAGGTCAGGGTCGGCACGGGTGGGGGTGTCCGTGATGAGAGCGCTTCCTCCCCCGGCTCACAACCGCGGCGTAACCCCGTGGGAAATGCCAGATGCTCTGCACAGCACCTTGCCCCTGCCCCCACAACCACCAAGGTCGTGGAAAACGAGGATGTTCTGAGAAACTGCAGCAGCTGGGACGAGCTAAGGAGACGTGGGAACCAGCTGTCCTGTGGGGTCCAGAAGACAGTCGTCAGCCGGAAGCTGAGGAAACGTGGGCTGGTTTGGCTCCCGAACCGAAGCGCGTTTGTGTGTCCAGGACCGCGGTCGTTGCTGGGGGCCCAGAGAGAGAGCCTGAGCTGTTCCTTCAGGTTTCCTGTGCATCAAACGCTGCTGTCGAAACATATTAATTACCTCAGATGACTTTGCCATCAAAGCCTTATGAGCGGACACGGGGTCTTGGCCCGCACCTCCGGCTGGGGTGTCCGCTGACAGACCCAACAGAAGAGGAGGAGTCTGGGCTCCCGTCAGCCTGAGGGAGAGACGGGGAACTGCACTGAGCAATGTCTGGGCCCAGCGGTGGCAGGGGACCTTGGGGGCAGGAGCGTGTTAGACCCGTGATTGTAGAAGGGGCACCCGGGACGCTAGGTACTGCTTTGTCCTGTGGCTGTGTTAGATAAGCACGTCTTGTGTTGTGCCTGGTGTCACTCATTTTGGGTGGCTTTATGCGGTTTTGGACTTCCACGCCACCCCTGCCACTGCCGGCTTGGTGGCAGTGCCGTGGGCTATGTGTGACCTGGAGCTCTGAGCGCGGGTTCCGGGGCAGAGCTTCCGTTAGGGGCAGCAGTGCTTGGGGAGTGTTCTGTTGCCTCGCTCCTGTGGGGGCATGACCGTGATGCCCCTTCTGTTTGGGGTTTCCTCGTGCCCCTAGCGGTCCTCTCTGGGAGGGCTTCACCTGCAGCGCTGTTGGAATCCAGACTTCGACCGACCGTGGACTTGTCTCATTTTTCCTCCCTTTGCCCCAGCTGCCGGGAAGCTGGGGACAAAATCCGACCCTAGCACCTCGGGTCACTGAAGCCAGGGTTCGGAACATGCATGACATCCCGTGTTTTGGAACTTCCCCTCCCTCTCCTGGGATTCTGAAAAACTTGTGCCAGCGGCCTTATAGTCCGTCTTTCAGATGCTTCAGGCTGTTTTGGAAGACGCTGCTGTGCAGACGTGGGCCTGGAAGGCCCCCAGTTTGCAGCTGTGCGTCTGTGGCGTGCTAGCTGCGGGGGCAGACCCGGGGCCCCGTTTCCTTGTCTGGCTGCTGTGGCAGAGCGGGCCGTGGTGATGGGAGGTGTGGGTGCTGCACACCCTCCAGGTCACGGAGACCTCCCCGGGTGGCCGGGGCCGGGCAGCGGCCACAGCTGGCAGGGACGGGTACCCACCCTCGGCCTCTGTCCCCCCTCAGGACACATCTGCACTGGGCTCGTCCGTGTTCCCGAAGTGACATTTCTGGCAGCAGCGGTGGCAGCTGCCGTCATTCTTACGGGGACAGATAGTGTGATTTCTCGACTGTTTCCCGTCTCCTGAGCCGGTGGTGTGATGGGCACCCTGCCAGCGGGTGACGGTAGCTGTGCAGGTGGAGGTGCTCACCTCCCCTGGGTGACAGTCGTGGTTTGTCACCCTGTGTCAGGGAGAGGAGGGGGCAGCGTGCTGGGGGGTGGTGAGGTTGCAGCAGCCCCTCCCCCCAGCCTTTTCCACAAGGCCAGAGGAAGGAGCCCTTTGCAGATGGACCTCCTGCTTCAGCACCCTGTGTCTGTAGCTCCTTGACGTCACTCTGGTGGCTGCAGCTGTGCAGGGTGAGGTTCAGATGGGAGTAAGGACAGCACACAAGGGAGGGATTGCGTAGGGAGTGACCGGTCTCCCCACGTGAACTTTCTACCTTGCTGTTTCTTCTTTTCTAGCGAAAGCCTAAACTTCAAGTCCGTATTAACAGCCTCGGGGGAAAAACATGTTTTCGGAAGTCCAGGGTTGGTGCTTGAGTTTGGAAGCGTCAGAGGCAGGCCCTTCCTGACGCCGCACAGCAGGCTGGAGGGGGGTGGGGAAGAAGGTGCACTGACGGCCAGCAGCAGTGGATGGGGGGCAGCAAGGGAAGGGGCGGAAAATCCTGGTCCCAGGGCTGACAGGTTTAATCAGGTCCTGAATTGTGTCAGACAGATTCTGCCACGTCCACGCAAGTCCCCCAGAGAATGATCTGATCATAGGCTCGGTCTCTCTGTAACCTCCCGGGAGACAGGGTTCCGTTTACCATCTCACTTCACTGTGGGACGGAGCCAAGCCCACTCTCGGGCAGGGCGCCCGCCTTTGCAGCCTCCCACGCGAGCTGCAGTCTGGCTGTGACCATCCAGGCTGCTTCCAGAGAGCGGTGCTGATGGCGGCACAGACCCAGGGCATCTCATGGACCCCGCCTGGCAGGTGCACAGGATGTACGGAGCTCACCCGACCTGTGAGCAGTACCCTCCCACCCTGGGAAGGTCAGGCCGAGCAGGGCTTCGCCCGGGTGCCCGCTGTCGCCCTGCAGCCCGTCCAGCGCTCGGTATCAGCATCTCCCTTACAAGCGGGGAAGATTCCTCCTTCCGTGGGCTGCAGATGTGCATTCCGGCTCTTTGAGGACACAGCTTGCCTTTTTCCGTAAGGCTGTTTTATTTTTCATTTTACTCTCTGGATATTTTTCATGTGGATGTAGGACCATCCTCTGTGGCATTTGCCAGTAGGATCTGTAACTTTTTCACATCAGAGCAACCCCGAGTGATTCCAGTACCCCATTCCTGCATTCCTGGGAAGCTCTAACAAAGGCCAGAGAAGAAACTCCTCGTGGTAGATCCTCCTCTCTTCCACATTTGAGATGAAACGCCTGCTTTCTCAGAGGCTGAGGGCCGTACAGGGAAGGACAGGACACGCGTAAACTCTTCGAGCAGGAAGAGGGCCAAGGAGGCCACCGTCTGGCAAGGCAGATGCCAGCCAGCGTGCACGTGGCCAGGAGCCCCACTGGCTGGAGGAGACCCACGCCCGTGTCATCTCGCCCTAGATTGTCCCAGCACAGGCCGAGGTAGAAGCCTGCACGGAGGGAGAGAAGGAAAAGCCGTGGACACCCTGGGCACCAAATTGCACAGTCCGGGGACGTTGCTCCTGTTTCCTTGTTCCAAGCGTCTGGCTCAGTTGGTGACTCTAGGTGCCCTGTCCGGGGTCCTCGCCCTCCTAATGCAGCAGTCACAGCTGCTGGATACATCCAAAATGCCTGACAGGGGTCTCCTACATCCTAAGGTTGCGCTGGCTTTGCGTGGACAGCCGGCGGAGTGGGAGTGTGTCCAAAACAGCCCTAACTTTTGGCTAGGAGTTTTGCTGCCCGGCCTGACCCGCTGGGCTGTGGGGAAGCCCGGCCGCATCGCGGGCCCGCCGCCCACCCCCAGACCGCAGCAGCCCTGCTTGCGCGGAGACCGGGCTGTGTGGTGCTGGGACCTCGTGCCAAGCCCACCCCCTCTGGGCCTCTGCTCCTTCATCCTGTCTTTCCCCAGCCACACGACTCACGATTTCCCACCCAGGTCGGCCTCCTGTCCCTGCAGCCTTCTCCGTCCGTAGCTCGTTGCTGACATCCAGAAGCCACAGTTGTACGGCCAGCCACTGGACACAGGCGTGTTCACGTCACCTGACCATTCAGACGAGCTTGGCTTTAGTTGAGGGTAGCGGTCCCAGCCTCCTGACCCGGCCTCTGTGAGCACAATGCCGCCTGGGTCCTGAGAGCATTTGTCGCTTACAGTTCTGTCGCTGCATCGGGTAATTTATCTTGGATGCTTCATGTCATTAAGCCTGTTGGCATGTTCTGGAACCGTTGCAGCCGTGTGTAAGATCTGGGCTGCTTTCCTTGGATAGCCCTCATTTGCTGTCGTCAGCATCAAAGCCTTTCCCAAGACCAGCACCAGAGATCTTAGTGGCTGTTGTCCAACCCGAACTGGGGATGGTGAGCTCTTGCACATCATCACGTTGCTGCCGCCACCGGTCAGGTGCTCTCCCTCCCGGCCCCGCCCCTGACCACCCTCCCGCCCCCGTGGCATCCCACTTGCAGGTGCTGCAAAGGCCGGCTGTGAGGGAGCCTCGTGCGCCCCCACACTGTGACCACGGGTCCCCTCTGAGGCCTCCTGCCCCTCTCCCCGTCCCCTCCGGTCTCCAGAGCACGTGCCAGTCAGCAGGAGGATGGCTGTGACCATGCAGAGGGTGGCTCAGGGGTGGTGAGCATCCCTCCTCCATGGACACAGAGACACAGCCTCCAGCACCCCTCACTGCTGTGCCCCGAGTATCCCTAGTGTCAAGCACGGCACTCTGTGAACAAAAAGTGCCCCCTAGGCGAAGGAACAGCATCCTAGTCTTGTACCGTGGCAGAAAGAACACCGCGGGGGTTCAGCCAGCTGTGGTTGTGACCAGCACCAGTGTCACCCACGGTTCTTAAGATTAAGCCACCATTGAGTATTTTTTAGTGGAAAAGAGTTTCTTTTCTAGAAGGTTTTGCCGTCTGAATTGGCCAGTCCTCGTGGGGGGTCAGATGCACCTGGTTCAGAAGGTCGATTCTGTGCTCTGCGGACCTGGGCCACTGTCTCCGTGGCCGGAGCTCATTCGCGCTCCAGTCTAACCCGTACGCCTTTCCTTTTCTGCAAGTGCTGAGTTGAGTCCTGCTTCCTGTCCAGGCAGAATCATTTTCCCGGTGGTCATGCATGATTGGCGAACGGGACTTTGCCTCTGTTCTCTGTGGCCCCTCCTGTGTCCGTCTCTCTCCGTGTTCCTGCCGGAGCACAGCTACTGTCCGCTGTGGGATCACTTTTTCCTTGGACATCTAAACAGTGCATTGCATTGGACAGTGCTCCCCAGCAGCCTGACCAGCACTGACCAGGCAGGTGCTAAGTATGGAGGAAGGGAACCACAGGCTCAAGAACACGGCCAAGTCATACCTTCTCTTTCTCTTTGTAGAGTGCGTTTAGTGGAAAGAGGCTCTCCTCACAGCTTGCCCCTGATGGAATCAGGAAAAGTAAGTATTGAAGGAAGAAAGATGTATTTCTCCATAAACCTGAGTCTTAGCATATGAGCTTTGACATTTTAAGAAATGTATTTTTTAGAATATTTTTAACAATAGGTTTGGCCATGAGTACAGAAACTCAAAACAACAGTATTTTAAACAAGTTAGGTTCTTCTTCTCTTTCACAAAAAAGAAATGAAACCTCCAGGGGCCCCAGCACTTTCTGTCTTGTTCTACTTTGCATGGATTCTGTTCCTAAGAGTACCTCAGGGTCAAAAGTGGCTGCTCTAGCTCCAGCCATCGTTTTCACATTCCAGCCAGCAGGAGAAGAAACAGAAAAAGGAGGAAAGGAAAGATGCAGATGAAGTTTTCTGAGTTGCCTTGTGCACACTTAAGTACCGCCACCCAAAGTCCGGTCACACGGTCACACTGGCTGAAAGAAAAGTTAGAAACCTTATATTGGTTCTGAGTGTGTATGGGCCTCGCTATAAACCCAGGTATCGGTTGCTGTGAAAGCAGGCAAGGAAGGGTTATGGTGGGGTGGGGGGAGGAGTAGCTCCTGCCACAGTGGTTATGTTTTGTTTGTTTGTGTGTTTGCTTGTCTTTTTTTTACAAGTTGAGGGTGAGAAGTATATTTCTCCAAAGCGAAGATTTCTTTTTTCATTTTCGGCCCCCGTTGTCCTATCTCTTCTCCACTTGACATAATTCCAGAAGCATCTTATGTCAGTTCTGGATCCTTTATCATCTGTGTCAGTGTGAGCGCCAGTGAGAATTCTTGCTGCTAAGTTGGTTCTCATGGTAGGACCCTGTGCGTACCTGCCCTAACTCAGCCTTGAGCGAGACACAGAGACCAGAGCCACCGTGTCACGCTTCAGACTAGGGGACAGGATACCCGTTCCAAGAGCTCTTACTGAAGCTCAACCCTACAAGGTCCGATTAACTGAACCCACACGGGCTTCATTCCAAATTTGCAGAATCAGCTTTTGCTTCCAGATGCATGTGGTTTCAGTGAAATTCAAAACGCTTCTAAGCCAAACTTCCATTAAGAAGGAGATGGTCGGGGCTCCCGGGTGGCTCAGTTGCTTGAGCGTCCGGCTTCGGCTCAGGTCACGATCTCGCGGTCCGTGAGTTCGAGCCCCACGTCGGGCTCTGTGCCGACAGCTCAGAGCCTGGAGCCTGTTTCGGATTCTGTGTCTCCCTGTCCCTCTGCTCCTCACCCCCTCATGCTCTGTCTCCTCTCTCTCTCTCTCAAAAATAAATAAACATGGGAAAAAATGTAAAAAAAGGAGATGGTTGATACGAATATTACGATAAAAGACAGTGACAGGCAGGAGAACGTTGGAAGCATGATTGAGGAAAGAGAGGGCTGTCCAGGCTCTCTAGTCAGAACACGCCTGACAGCACGGCAGGGGCCACCACCCTGCTCCCTTCCACCACACCTGCCTCACTTTTCGGTCCACACTCATCTCCGAAACCTTGATCCACGAGTGACTTCCTTATTTCAGCACCGACTGCAAACCTCCCCCTTCATCCACATTCACGTGCCATGATGTCAGGCACGATACTAAACACAATTGAAAAGTTAATTGAAATGTCTGAAAATTCCTATTTTTCATGCATCATGCTGAGTTAAGTTGTATCAATCATCCTGTTTCTATTCACATTCTTAATGTTTTTAAGTGTTTACTTATTATTGAGAGAGAGCAAGTGGGAGAGGGTCAGAGAGAGACAGAGACAGAGAGAGAATCCCAAGCAGGCTTCTCGCTGTCTGCGCAGAGCCTGATGCAGGGCTCAATCCCAGGAACCGTGGGATGGACTGAACCAAAACCAAGAGTGGATGCTTAACCAACTGAGCCACCCAGGTGTCCCCAGATTTTTAATGTGAAGATCACTTTAATACAGGCACTATCATTGTAGTAATAATTACAGTAAGATGCGGTTGTCACGCAGTAAAATTATGTTATGGTATGTAATTTTGATTTAAGGCCATACCACTTTCTAGACAGTTTTAGAAAGGAAAACAGGCACGTGGCATAAAGGCCACAGCAAGGTTGATTGGTGTGGCATCTGCCTGTCTGTCCACTGACCAGAACATTCTCCTCTGCCACATAGATCCTCCCGGGGGTTCGGATCATAATTGCCAATCCAGAAACAAAAGGACCGTTGGGCGACTCCCACCTGGGTGAGGTGAGTTCCGGGGTGTCCGCCCGGGTGAGGCGAGCTGCGGGGCGTGCTCAGAGACGGAGCCTCTGAGACCAAATGACCGCCCTGCTGGACGCGCCGGGTCATCCTCAACACCTGGAAGCACCGCTAAGCCTCAAGTCAAGTCACTGGCTGGGAAAGAACCTGAAATAAGCTTTACCGCTAGAACAAGTCACCGAAGTTCAGGGTTGCAAAGCAGATTTCCGTGAGCAAGTGTGAATGGCCCTCTCCAAAGAATTTAGGGCAGAGGATAGTGAACGTACGTGGAATGAGTTTCCTTACGTCCTAGCTCTTGCCTTTCCCGCACGCTTGCCGACTTAGTGCTGAGAAGCGCGTCGGGACAGCCATGGAGAACATGCCCAGGGTACAAGGCCACAGCCTAGAACCATGGAGTGTCAGTAAATGGTCGCAGTTTAGGGAATGACAGGCATTTCTTCTGTCAGAAAGTCAACAGTGGCTTTGACCCATTCGCTCGTATTTAGGAGGAAACCCACGCTGGTTGACCCCCGTTCCTGCTGCCCTAGATCACCCCCTCCCCCACTCAGCCAGTGGGAGGGACATCAGAAAGGGGCACGGTGCACTTACCTTCCCTCCTGTTCTCGGCAAGGCCGAGCCCCTCACGGGCACTGGGTCTAATGCCCACGTCCTTGCTGCCGTGCCACCTGCCCCACATGGTCAGCTTCCCTCCTCACAGAGGTTCCCCAGCTGCCCACAGACCTGCTGCCGTCACTAACAGCTTCTTAAAAACACCACTGCTCAACCAACAGACTCTTTTGTTTTAAGCTTATTTATTTGAGAGTGTGAGTGTGAGTGAGGGGAGGGGCAGAGAGAGAGGGAGAGAGAATCTCAACCAGGCTTCATGCTGACAGCACAGAGCCTGACGCGGGTCTCGACCCCACGAAACCGCAAGATCACGACCTGAGCTGAAACCAAACGTCGGATGCTTAGGCAACTGCAGGCGTTAAGCCTGGTGAGCCCCACGGGCTCCCGTCTAGCAACACGTTTAAAGGAGATTCCTAAGTAAGACCTGTACAGTATTTTATCCCCTCAGTTCTGATCTTCAGACGTGATCGAGAGATTCCCACGAAGCGCTAAGCAGCAGCCCCACCAGAAAAGGCATGTGGTCAGGACTCACCACTGGCGTTTCCTCGGCCACCTGTGATGTGTGCTTGCGCCACTGCGCCGGGGCACCGGGAAGAGGGGTGCAGCGGCTTCGTTTGCTTGGAGGATCGTTGATACACACAGTGTCGTGTTAGCATCAGGTGCACAGCACAGTGATGTGACTCTTGACCAGGACAAGTGTGGTCACCACACAACATGATGACGATTCCATTGCCTACATTCCCTGCGCTGCATTTTTGATCCCCGAGGTTTGTTGACTTCACACCTGGAAGTTTTTACCTCTCGATCCCCTCCCCCCACTCAGCCCCTGCCCACTGCCTCCCCTCTGGCACCACAGTCTATACTCTGTACTTAAGAGTCTGTTTCGGGGCCCCTGGGGGCTCAGCCAGTCAAGCGTCCGACTCTTGGTTTCGACTCAGGCCATGATCTCACGGTGGGTGGGTTCGAGCCCCACATCAGCAAGGAGCCTGCTTGGGACTCTCCCTCTTCCTCTCTCTCTGCCCATCTACCACTCTCTCTGTCTCTCTCAAAATAAATAAACTTCAATCAGTCAGTCAATTCCTAGGAATGAAACTGGGAAGGACAGTGTGCTGTCCTGGGTGCCTGGAGAGGGCGCCAGCCTGTGCCACTGTCTAGCCAGTGGCCTCGGCTCCAGCCGGGCATCAGAGCCCACTTCACTCTGGTTTTCTGAACAGGAACGTGTCTTCACAAGGAAATTTTGTGTCTGAGAAGAAGGAACAAGTTTCATTGCCCTTATACGATGGTGTCACTTTTTCCTTTACTCTGGGGTTGGGTTTGTTCAGCAGGTACTGACTGGGTGGCTGTGGACGTGCCCACAGTGTCTGAGAGCCACGGGACAGTGCAGACAAGGTGGACTGTCTCTCACGCGTCCATTTTTCAGTGTAATAAAATCATGAAAACAACCCAGCTCAGAGCGTCTTTACTTTAAACACTGTGTAGCCCAGAAGACCCTGACTTCTGGTTCTTTTCCCTGCAGAGACAGAATTGCATGCAGTTTTATGCGTGTTTCAGGGACTTAATTGGCTTAACCTCGAGTCTTTTCCATGGCTCTCCATGACTCACATGGTCACCACTGTGAGTCAAAATGTTGCTCTTTCTCATTTGCCCAAGTGTCACACACGCGGGCTGTTTTGTTTCTTGATATTACACACCTTTCCTTCTTGGAGTCGGTTTTGGTTTCTGCTGTTGTGTTGGAATATGTTCCCAAAAGTGTGCAAACCACGTGAAAGGGAAAAATAAATCATAAAAGTTTTCAACATTTTTCCAAATTGCTTTTTAGAAACAATCATTATATTTGAATAAGTGCAAGGAAACTGCTTAGTACAACATCGCTCACTTGATGTGCCTCCTTTCCAACCCTTCCTGTTCTGACGAGCTTCTCCATAGGTGGACAGCTTGGTGCTTTGCTTCGCGCCTCTGTGTTCCCCCCAGAAGCCTGCGTGAGACTCACGTGGCCTTGTTCCTGCCTTGAGGGCGCCTTGATCAGCTGCTGCCTTGCGCCCGTAGTTTCTTCCCCAGGGATGTTCCCGGGTGAACTCACCCAATTCTGTTGCTTCCTGAACAGATCTGGGTTCACAGTGCCCACAACGCCAGTGGCTACTTCACCATTTATGGAGACGAGTCCCTCCAGTCAGACCACTTCAACTCAAGGTTAAGTTTCGGAGACACGCAGACGGTCTGGGCGCGGACGGGCTATTTGGGGTTCCTGCGGAGGACGGAGCTCACAGACGCAAACGGAGGTAAGAGCCCAGGCAGGTGGGTCGAGAAGCCAGGTCCCCAGGCCCTGAGAACTTGTGTGGGTTTGGGACCCCAGCCCCAGGGGCTCCTCGCACATGCTGGCTGCAAACCAGCCAGGAAGCAGCTGAGTACGGAAGAGAGGATGGCGGGTGTGAGAGTGTCCACGCTGAAGCCGCACGTCGTGTCCTTTGTGCTCTCACAGGAGCCAGAGTGTGCCCTGCCCGTGACACCGCGCCCCTAAGTGCAGTGGACAGACCCCCGCCCCTCCTGCAGCCGCCCAGTCCCAACGAGGCCCGCCCGCAACCCCAGCTGGGCGGTGGCGGCAGGACCTGACAGTGTGGCCTGTCAGGAAGGAGAGGTAGCCAGGCGCTCGGGCCGTGGTCGCACGGAGGCTGCTGCTCCCGCCTCTGAGGGCGGCTGGTGCCAGGCAGGGAAGTTACGAAAGATGAAAACGTAAAGTCCTACTTGCTATTACGGCCTCAGCTACCAGTTCTACTCAAAACAGAGGCAGGACTCCGTTATTTCAAAGGATGGGAGCAGAGATTTCTTGGTGAGATCCTGTCAGACCCCAGCCCCAGGAGGTGACTTTCAAGAAGGCTTCCAGACACAGCTGCATGGCGGGAGCTCTGTGAGCCGGGCTGAACTGGCGTGAATTTAGGGGGAAAGCAAAGCACAAACATGTTTTGGCATCGTGTTTGTATCATGTTTGCAATTTGGGAAAACCATAGGCTATTTTATTGGAGGGTGTTATCTGGGATTCCCAGGACCTCCTCAGGAGGTGGGATAGGTCCCACCCTGTGGCATTTGGGTCGGGGGTGCTGGGACAGCGCTGTTGTCCTCAGCTCTGTGACCCCCCCCGCAAAAAGACTGGAGTCCCTGCTGTATTAATAGTTAGAGGCCAGCAAATAAATGTCCTCATCTCATCTGACTTAAAACTGGAAAAGACTTCTTTTCTGGTATTCTGTATGTCGATCGCTTCTTTCAAATACGCTCGGATATACTTACCACCCTAAAGGTTGAGGGTGTCTCCTTACTTTTAGGGAAAGACGGACTGACCGCATGTTGCCACTGTCCGAGGTTTGCATGAGTGAGAAGATGTTTCACGGTTACGTGAGCTAAGGAAATCTTTGTTTATGAGCATTATCAGAAACTCTGCTTTTTTTCCTACTGAGAGGTAGAATGAGTTTAGACCTCATGTGATGACATCAGAGGGAACCAGGTTTAATTTTGGCTCTGCTGCTGCACCCTGACCCTAGGGCTTTGGGAGAGCACCCTGAGGGTTGGGGCGTGTCTGCCGGCCCCACTGGGGCTGAGGGCTGCGAGGAATGTGGGCTGGCCTACTGCAGGTGCACAGAAGCTGGTCCGAGAACGCACTCTACTCCGTGATGTTGAGGTGCGGAGCGACCTTACAGGTGTGAGAGCAGCCCTCCCAGGAGACTGCAGTGCTGGCCCGGCCATTTCCTTGGGAGCACAGCGACCCTGGTAGAAAGGAGCATGCTACCCTCGCTCAGTGGCCCCACTCCTTTGCATCTCGCAGTCAGGAGTAGTTTTAGACTTTTGTTTTTAAGCAGCTCGAGCACCATTGTGGCAAAGTTCACACATGTTTTCCGTTCCCTACACAGAGCGCCACGATGCCCTGTACGTGGTGGGGGCTCTGGATGAGGCAATGGAGCTGCGGGGGATGAGGTATCACCCGATAGACATCGAGACCTCAGTCATCAGAGCCCATAAAAGCGTCACAGAATGGTGAGTAGTGGGTGGGCGTGTGCACAGTGGCACAGGACAGAGACTGTGTGGCATTGGGAATGGACGGGGGGCCTGTGCAGGAGAGCCTCGGCTTTGGATTGTAGACCTTTACCTTTGGTGCTGATAGCCGCAAAAGGGCACTCTTGGCGTAGAGTCCACAGATTGCGTGTTTTCCTGAGAACGATGCGCCTGGAGAGCGAGTCCCGGAAATTGCCACTTACTTGCGTTGAGTCTGCGAGAGGGTCACATGGGGAAAACGGACTGCACACAGGCGCACGAGCAGGCACTTCAGAGTGAGGGTCCTTCACAGGCCGTAAGGCAGAGACGGGAGGCAGTTACACCAGATGCCCTCCAGCAGGCCGGGGGCCCCGGGGCCTGTCCTCCTGGAGCTGGGCTCCCTCCCTCCCTGGTCCATTTGGTTGGCGGTGTTGACGGTGGCCCACGGTGCCTGGGGCTGGCCTGGAGGCCGCAGCGTGGAGCCCTTCCTCAAGCTCACGGAGCGCCTTCACGTGGTGTTTAAGAGTGAAAAGTGGCTCAGCACTCGTAGCTGTAGGTTTGTGCGTTTGGTGGGTCCCGGAGCCAGCAGAGGCCTGACGAAGCTGCTCTCGAACCCAAAGGGAGGCACGTTCCAAACTGTCTCGTGAGCAGTTTTTCCTCGTGGGTAGATTGGCCTGAGATCGTTCATTGCGGCATGTGAGCGGATTGCAGGCTGGTTATCTGTTGGCGTTTACTGAACGGGAACACAGAAAGCTTGGCAGGATGGAAGAGATGGGAGAGCCATCACTCCCCGTACGGTCCTGTGCTTCAGACTTGGACGCGTGCCTGCTCTCCCTGAATCTGCGGAAGCTGCTTGTCCGCTTGCGTGTAGACAGGAGACGGAAGCCCTAGAAAGACCCCGGCCCAGAAGTGGCACCGGGCCGCACCCCGGTTACAGCCTTCCAGCTCTGTGTCTGTGAGAAAATACTTCAGACTGGTTTGCACCGCCTCCCTCTAGCGTTTTCTGTGTAGTTGCAAAGGGCTGTCTGCCCCTCACGGGTCTGTGGCAGGTGCTTCTTGCTGCGCCTTGTGGTTTCTGTTCCAGGGTTCAGGGTTTTGTTCTAAGCACTGCTGTTGCCACCTGCTGTGTGGCCTCACCCGAGGCGTGTCAGGCCCCGTGCTCCGCTCTGTTCACGTGTGCACCGGAAAGATAGCGGCTTGATTGTGCTGGGCTTTGTCTGCCGGCAACCGCCCAGTGCAGCCTACTATGTCGTTCTTGCTCCTTCTTCCTTCCCTCACCGGGCCTGTGCTGCTCCGCCAGCGCGCCCTGTCAGGTATCTCGGACCAAGGCTGACACGTGTGTCACTCGACGTGACTGTGCACAGTGGCACAGTCCCGCTAGCCACATCTTTCCCTTCTCATCCGTCGTCTCCAGAGGTTGACATCTCTGGGCCTAGGAAAGCTCTGTTGGAAGGAGAGAGATGTTGGCCCGCCCACAGCTTCCTGGCAAAGCCCTCCCCCATCCAATACAGAAATCCAGCCTGGTTCCTGATACTGTGTCCTCAGTGTCAAATGCTATAATTAAATTATGCCCAAAGTGGCTACTGTGTGTATCTAACCTGTGATATCACAAACTCAGGATGGGCTCACTCGGGCCATGCAGAGCAATATTTTAGAGTCACAAAGAGTCCCAGCACATCTTGGGAACAGACCTCGGCAGGACTGTTTCCTTGGGTACACGCGCTTATCACCAGGCCAAACCCAGAAGCCGTAATCTGTCGAACACATTCTCTGCTCTTTCCTTCCACGTTAATATATTTACTGGTCATTCTAAACAAGATGTGTGGAGTTTTTTTTCTGAATAAATGTGTTCTGAAGCTGTTAGAAAACATAGTGAGTTTCCCAAACACTTGCTGCCCCATGGAACCTCTGTGCGTCTGGCTGGAGAAGCAGATACCAGCAGCCCCCTGAAGGCCCCTGGAGCCTGGCCTCCTCCTGCACACAGCCCCTTCGCCCCAGGACCCTTCTGGCCTCCGCGGCCAGTGGAGCGTGTGCACCAGGAGCAGTGGCCACTAACGCCCTCTTACTACCGCTTTCTAACGACCAACCGTAAAAGTTCAGGTGGCTGGCAGCGTAAAGCAGCACCAAGCTTAGGCTTCCACAGACTGGCCGGACCAAATACTCTGGGTGACCTTCCATTGAAAGATCCCAAGTAGAATACTTCTGGGCCCATCTCTGATGTTCTTAAGGAATTGTTCCCCATACAGGTCACCTCTTGCTGCATTCGACTCATCCCAGACTCAGTACTAGAAACAGTTACTGTGCCCCCGTGTGTGCAGTTGCCCCCTGGGTTAGCTGGTCCCAGTGTGACGGGACCCGTGGTCAGCTGCACACAAAGCTGGCGGTTCTTCTCCATGCTGCTCCTGCTCCCTCAGTGCCCCCCTCCCACTGTGGCACAGGCAGGGCAGACCAGCCCCAAAGCCCCAGCTGCTCTCCAGCCTCTGCTGACTTACCCCTGGCCTCATTGCATACCAGCCCCAGGCCCAAGGGGGGGACACAGGCTTCACCTTAGGGGCACAGGTGCTGAGGCTCCTGTGCTACCCGACCGCGGCGTGTCCCTCGGCAGCGGCTGAGGGCAGAGGGCAGGGCCGCTGTCAGGGTGATGCCTAGCACAGAGATCACGTGCACGCGCAGCAGCCACCATGAGTGCCGCCGTTAGAAAACGCCAGCGACAGGCTTGTGTGCGGCACTTAATGAGCTGATGGCCGTGGGCTCAGAGAGATGGTCAGCGCACAGGCACATCCAAAAAGAGCCAGATGGATGGGACTTGTTGACAAGAAAGCCTAGTTGTTCAATAAAAACCTCGCTGTATAGTGATGATTTTCTCTCTCTTCCAGCGCTGTGTTCACCTGGACAAATTTGCTGGTGGTGGTGGTTGAGCTTGATGGGTCAGAGCAAGAAGCCTTGGACCTGGTCCCCTTGGTGACCAATGTGGTCCTGGAGGAGCACTACCTGGTGGTGGGGGTGGTGGTTGTGGTGGACATCGGTGTGATCCCCATCAACTCCCGGGGAGAGAAGCAGCGCATGCACCTGCGTGATGGGTTTTTGGCCGACCAGCTGGACCCCATCTATGTGGCCTACAACATGTAGTCTCGTCTCTGGCTCCCATGGACCTTTCCAGGGAAAGAAACGTTTTTCTCAGTGTCACTGAAGTTTGCAGACACGAGGGCAACATTCACTGGGATGGAGCCTTTGGTCACGCCTCAGCGAGACTCCACAGCAGTCCTGGTTGGCATGGGGGTGAAATGTGAAATGTGAATTTACCACTGAAGTTTGCTCAGAAGGACTTTGGATTACTGCCTTCAGTTTGTTGGAAAACCCATTTCAAAAACTTTCTTTTCTTTTTTTTTTTTTTAATTATTGGATAAGTGCTTTCTTCGTAAATGTGGTATTTTGTTAAGCCAAAATAGCAATTAAAAAATATTCTGCCCTCAAGATGGGTTCTTTTAAACAATTTATGTAGTGTGACAAAGAATTGTTTTCTCTGTTTAATGTGTCATGAAATCTTAATGACATGGACCTTGTTACTGATTTAAGCCATTGCTAGATCTTATCCTTTTAGGAAAGTTTGTTGAGGTACGAGGAAACCTTCCAAATAGCACCTTCCAATTAGATTTTAGCAGCTTTCTTTGTCAGAAATGTACTGAGGAAACAAAGGCTAGATACGGCCTTGGAAGTTAGCATAGAGTGAGAAGGAATTATACATAAGGTGTATTTCGGCAACTATCTTGCAGATAACTTTGTACTAAACTAAAAAGATAAAATAAGTTAACTTCTTCATATGTAATTATGTACAAAACGTTTAATTTATTTTGATCTCTTTAGAAGTATAAAAGAGAAAAAACATTCAAGAACATTAAAGTCTTGTAATGTTTGCTAATATAAAAAAGTGTTGTATTATCTTGCGTGGATAGTATCACAACAAATATATATATATGAAATATAAATTCACTAATGAACAAAGGAGATTTTAAAGTTTAAAATGCAGAACCTGTCACTTGCATGGTGTCCCCTCCACTGTACTGTAGATAAAGAGAGATTCTCTCACACCCACTTTGCTGATGTGAGCAATCACAGATTGCCGGTAGCCCGGTCTAAATGTTTCTTCTAGAACCAGAGACCAGCAAGTGAAGTTATTGCCATCTCAGAGATGGGGAAGGAATTTGAGGCTAAATGTGCACTATCTTTCCTTTGCTGTGGGGGCAACAGCGAACGGTGTGCCAGCATGTGCTTAGTACACGGAGCGGGCATTAGGGAAGGCAGGTGTGTGTGGCACTGTTCTCTTAGCTGCAAGAATTCGCTGCACAACGTTCCTCATCATTTTTGTTAGTGTCACCCCTTTTGGTCCTTGGTATGAAAAGGAACGATATTCTGTGGTCATTTGCACTGGGTTGTGTTGATTCCCCTCAGATGGCCACTGTATGGAGTGGACAGAGTGTCCGGAACAGCTTTAAGGGAAAAGACTCACCTAGGAGATCGTCTCCTCGGCCAGCTCTCTGGGGTTCCCTGCCCCGGCGTGAGCAAAACCCACAGGGAACTCGCATGAGCTGCCCCCGGACTCCTAACAGAGCCACTGGCTGGAGCAAGAAAGCCTCACAGCTGCCTTCATCTCGCCACCTGTGGATAACACGTTTCTGATTTCCGTCTCTTGCTGCTGCTGCTGCTGCTGCTGCTGCCTCACACGCCTTCCAATTTTCATGTCTCACCTGTACACTCCTTGATTGAATTGGCCCATCTGTGTCCAGCCAAGAAGAGGTGTCAGCTGTCCAAGCGTGATTTATCTCGTAACTACCCCAATATGACCCCGCAGTGGCTCTCGTTGCTAGAAATGCATGACCAAGATTGTTGCTGGGCAAACTTTAGATTCTCTTTTCGTTACATTGTAGGCAATGTCTTCACCTGCCTTTGCTATATGCGCCAGCAGTAAGCCCTTTGCTAAAAGAGAGTTTTGTTTGACTTCCGAGATCCAAGGCTACTTGTTTTCTTAAAATTTTAAGTGGCATTTTTAAAACTTTGTCTGCATGTGGGGTGCATCCTTCCATCTCCACAAATTAGTTGATTTTTAAAATATTATTTGACTTCATTGCTGTGTGAATATTTCTACACGCTTCAGATACACATTCCTACAGTCTTCTGCTTCCTACGAGGGGCGGGGGGAATCCCCACCACACACAGAAAAAAGACATTTTCTTACACATACCAACCTTGTTTAAGGGGAAGGATGGTTTAAGGCTTCAGATCATGTACTGATTAGGAAACACAGTTGCAGGAGAACTTGTGAGGTCTAGCTGATGTCGGAAGCAAACAAACCAGGTGTCACTTCCAGTAGGACCTTCACATGCAAGGCGGTGCGGTTGTGAACATGGTTAGTGACGTCCTATCATCTCTCATGTTAGAGTTGAGGTCAAAGGGTTGGGGGCTGGGATCAAAGGTCATTCATGCAAGAAAAAGGAAAGGAAACCCGTTTCAGCAATAAAGAAGGATCGTTCTGTATTAGAAATTGTGCTGTAGATAAATCATTCATGAGAATGTAACAATGTTTGTCTTGTGACCTTGTGCTTTTGAAGTCAGACAAAACCGTGTAATCAACATGCACAAAGAAGGGTACACAATGAACATTGAAACACAGACCTAACCCAACAGGGCGGCTTCCTCATGGTGCTTGTTTATTATATATATTTAATCCTGCTTGACACTTTACCCAAGGGAAACTGTCCCTTTTATCAGTTGAATGTTAGCAGCGTTATTTCATAGAGTGTGGTGACTGGTTAGAGAAATTCATGTACTCAACCAATCACGGTTTCAAACAAAATTTTTATGTGCAAAGGACGGCAACCTTCTCGTATGTTAAACCACCAGTAAGCTTTGTACATCTGTGATAACGCCTGTTTTATATTCAAATGAACAAATAAAAGCTTTTATTTTTGTTGCTCTGAAAATAGCAGTTTCTTAATTGGTCCCCTGGAAAACTGTCTGGGACAGGTTCAATCCCAGGAAGGAAGTGACTCCTGCAGGGAAATGGGAAATGTATCTGACTCTGTTTACATAATTTGTTGCATTACTTATTAGTACAGATAATCATACTTTGAACAATGTTTAAATTTTGATGTGGGCATTTATTGCTTAAAAAATTCCTATGGCAACATGTTTTGTGAAATGTTTTTTTTTTAATTCTTTTAAATATATCTAAATATATTTGTTCACATTTGCTGGAAGTGTACAGATTCTTGCTAGATTTGGGGGACAAAGAGTAAGCCTGAGTCCTGTGTGCAAATACTTTGTCAGCTGTATGACAGGGGACCTCTGCATGTCAGGAAGTAGGACCAGCTGACTCTTCCAACCCAAGTTGTCTTTGTTCATCTGACGACCAGAAGCTCTTGTCTTTTGCCCAAGATCTGAGAATTCTTTCAGGTTTGTGTCGCAAGGGCAGGGGCAGGCGCACGGACCTTCAGCCTGGTGGTTCTCAAGAACTCAGCTGTATACACACCAAAACCAGTAGACCTCAAATGTGCGCCGCGAAGCGCCCGCGGGGCAGCGGCCCCCGCGCCCCGCCGTTCGCCCCTGAGCACCCCTGCCTGTGGCGGTGGAGACGCCCCACGCGGGCGCCTCGGACCTCGCGAGCTGGGGGCCCGAGACCCGCTGACAGACACGTGGTCCTGAGCGGCCATGCTTCGGACGGCGCATGCGCGAGTGTGCGTGCGTGCGTGCGTGCGTGCGTGCGTGCTTTCAGCTGTGGCGGCCCGCTCCGCGCGCTGCAGCTCCACGGCGGTGGGTTCCCGGACCCGGCCGGCGACAGCCTCGGGCAGCTGGGTCTCGCCCCTGTGCGGTCGTCTGCCCTGCGGCCTCCTGCGCGTGCGGACGGAAGGCCCCCTCACGCGTGCCCCCCGTGTGCGCCCCCGCACCGTAGTAGCGTGTCGGGCCTCTAGACCCAGTGGGGGGTCCGGAGCCACCGGGCGGGACAGAGGTCGGCCGCGTTCCCGACGCTGTCACCGGGGCGTGAGCGTCCCGCGCACCTGCCATCCGGGCTGGCAGTGGGTAGGGGAAGCCTTCGTGGTTTGGCTGTGTCTGCCGCCCCCACGGCATAGATCTCTAGGCACACGACCCCTGCAGGTCGGCCCGTAGGCCTTCCTCCCCTGAGGCTCCGTTCTCGCGCGTGTGGGGACCGAGCCCCGAGAGGGAGACCGTGAGTGGCAGGCGGGAGGGTGGGGCACGGCGTGTGGTGTGGCGGGGGGAGATGCGTCCACCGCCCCGAGGACAGCGTGCAGGCCCCGCCTGCACTCCTCCAGGAGCGGGCTGGAGCACTGACTTGGGAGGGAGGAGAGTGAGCGGGAGGAAGAGCCCGCCGGTGCCCAGTGCCGAGGAGGGCGGGGGCGGCAGCTCCGCTGTGCGCTCTGCTGTTCCCTGAGCCCGTGTGGACGCGTGTTCTCCGTCTTCACCTGCCCGCTCGCCGTGCTGGCTCCGCCACGGAGCCCCGCACAGAGCGGGCGTTCTGTAAGCGCTGGCCGGACGCAGGACGTCCTGGTGGGTAAGTATCTGAGGATCCCTGTGCCCGCAGGGCTCGAGCCCCGGTGGGAGGCGGACAGCTCGGGACGCGGTAGGGGCTGCTGGAGGCACGGCGAGCGGTACTTACTTTCGTCCTACGCGAGGCGCCAGCGAGTGCTGACAGCCACGCAGGCCTTGTTGCCACACGTGTGCGCTGTAATGACCCGCCGTTGGAGCGCAAGTGCCCCTGCCACCTGACCAACGGCTGGAAATACCAGAAAGACGGTGGGGGGCAGGGGAAAGGGGAAGGTGGTGAGAGAGGGGCGGCGCGGTTCTCGAATGGGGGATTGGTTCCCCGGGTAACAGCACGGTAGGGAGCTCTGGCAAGACGCGAAGTAGCGTCGTTCGAGAGCGGGCACCACGGATGCGAGCGTGCAGGTGCAGTAAGGGGGCAGGTCGGGGCAAAGGTCAGCGACTGGAGCCCGTTTCCTGCTTAGGCCAGAGCGGAGCCGAGGGGAAACGTTCCCCGTCCTCGCTGCATTGTGAAGGGACTGTGCCGAGAAACACGGGTGGATGGCAGCCACGCAGATGCATCCTGGCTGCCCCTT